AGCTACTGTCCTACAGTATGACTGCATACATCAAATCTTGGTTGGTAAACAGGAGGCATGTCTGTGCTTTTAGTTTGAAGAGGAGGTGCCTGGGCACCAAGGGTACCACCCATTGAGCACCAGGGTGGTACTTCGTACCGTCGAGCCGTGCGGGCAGTGTGCCACTGCCTCAGACAAAAAAAAATTCGTGAAATGTAGTCTGCGTAAAAGATATTACTAGCCTAACTTAAATTTATTGTTGAGTGCTGCCGTAACTGTACATGCATCCGTGATTAAAAAAAGAAGTTAAGGACATCTGACAGGGCAACCTAAGGCCCTGGGAACGAGGTTGCTGACAGGGCTACAAAATATATTGTTTTACTGCCCGAGGAGGAGAGGGGGGGGGAGGGGTTCCCCTATATTTACTATACGGGTATGTGCCGCTCGACAGGGTCCCTTTTCCGGAGCTCCAAGTCTGGAATAGGGTATCACTTTTCGGCCCACTTGTCTGGGATAGAGTAGTCTTTATGTCTGGGATGGGTAAGGATTTTGAGAATCGTGCGGCACRACCCAACCCAAGTTGGGGAGGGAGTACCCCCGGGTATTCCTGGTCAGGATTCTGTATTTTTGGGCATTATACAGTTGTTGATCCATGCATGYATTGATATTTCTGAAGCTTTTGTGTCTATTTTGTGTCTCATAGTTTTCGAAGGTATCGGTTTAAAATCACGTCTTTTTCTAAGCAAAGTATAAAGAATATTAAACCATATCATTCTACGCTTTTGAACAAATATTCGGGAAGTTTTAACCCACTGTAAGTTCTGTAAGTATAGCAATACATGGGATATTGCCCGCAGCTGAAAAAGAGCAAATAAAGTGTAATTACCCAGTTAGGGGCAGCCCTCAATGCCTTAGTTGGACTTTTATCAGATTGCCGAAAGTTAGGAGAAATTGGGGAGGCAGCGATGCTTCTAAGCAGTTAAAGATTGGAACAATTAGATATAAATATAACTATCAGAGATTCGCCATCATAAGCATTTTTCAAAGTTACGCTCTTTACGCTCTCATCTTGGTAACACGATGTGAATGACGTCATCCTTGACGTCACAAATGACGTTATATTCTGTTTCAACCAATGGGATTAGACGTTGCATAATCAGTTTATATATTTTTCATGCGCGCGCATACGTAAGCAAAGCCCGTAGGTATTTCGTTGAAGAAAAGGTATCGAGGAAACGACACATAATTCATTGAAGGTTTTCTTTGAACATATGAATCTACAACGATGGTTAGCAATCAATATCATTATATGAAAATATCGTGCTATCCGGGAGATCATTAGGGCTAAAATCTTGATACCGGGGATTCGATTTGACATCGGGAGTCTCCCGGTTTATCATAGTCRTATACTCTAAGGCTAATCCGAGGAGAGTTCACGTCCCTGTATATTATTTATCATTTTTATATTATTTTTATGTTATTGTTATAGTTAAASGTAAGTCTTACCCAAACACCCATCCATACCGGCACAACAGATTCCGAGTGAAAAGCGTAYCTGTAATAAATCACAGCTCGATCAGCGATACCAAACACAACGCTCAAAACTCCCAAAGTGATTTGAGCGATGGCAGAATAGCGAGTGTACTTAAAGCTAAAGCCCATGACAGAATTAAGCCAAGAAACCAAGATTTATAAGTCCCTTTAGAAGTTCTATCTGTGGACAGCTAAAAGTGACGCACTGAAAACTAAGTCCTTGACAACTTCTCTCGTTTCCAGGCCATCGAACTTCACACTGTCGGATGCGAAACACGAGGCTTTAAAACACACAGAGTGATTTGAACGATTGCAGCGTAGCAGGGAAAGGGGCGGATCCAGGATTTTCCTCAGGGAGGGGTGCGGGACTCTCAGGAGGGGGGGTGCGCACCCCCTGCGCCCACCGGCTGGAACCCCCCCTGCGTAGCGACCATGAAGGAGCTCATGAAGCAAGGCAGCGTTCCTATTCTATTTCATACAGCAAGGAAGAAGAAAAAGTCTAGACGTTAG